TGGTGATATGGATGCTAGTAAAGGCAATGGGCTTAGAGAGGGAGACATGCCCTGGGAGTGTTGTGGGGCAGTGTCACAGTCACATTAGCCTCTATGGGCAGCATAGGAACAGACCACAGGGTATAAGAGGGCTGCAGGGGTGGGGAGGGGGTCTTTGAAGACCTCAGACAGTCATAGCTGGAGGGAGCCATCACACCTGAGGATGGAGTAGAGGCTTCCCCATGGTCACCTTAGGAGCTGTGGCCAGGGCAAGCCCAGACACCAGCCCACCACTACTAACCCTGGCTTCCTCTGCCTGGCACTATCCTCTCTGGCATCAGCCCAGGGTCAGGGCCCCAGCTGAGTGTTCTCTGCATGGTCTCCAACTCTTGGCTGAAACTGCATGGCCATTTCCACCCCCTGGATGGCTGCTCTGCAGGGAGAGGTGGGAGTCACCCTGGGAAGTCTGCTGTGGTTACTGTATCCTGTCACAGGGACCTAGCTCTACCCATCCTCCTCATACTCCCTTTTTCTAACTTTAGGTTGCTTTCCTAAAGTCCTGCCCTGAGTCCCCTCCCAATCCTGTGGAGGGGGCCCTCTGGAACTCGGGTGCCCCTGGCCGCCCCGCAGGGGGAGATGATTGACAGGATTGAGTACAACGTGGAGCATGCTGTGGACTACGTAGAGAGGGCTGTGTCTGACACAAAGAAGGCTGTCAAGTACCAGAGCAAGGCCCGCCGGGTCAGTAGCCCATTCTGCCATCCTGCTGCCTACCCCTTCCCTTCCTCCTTTTGTCCCTTCCCTCCCTCCTCCCTTCCCCTCATAGATCCTACAGACAGCACTCATAATCTCTCCCCACCTCCCACCCTATCTGAGGACCCTCCTGCCTGCTCCCCTGCAGAAGAAAATCATGATCATCATCTGCTGTGTAATCCTGGGCATCATCATCGCCTCTACCTTTGGTGGCATCTTCGGATAGAAGCCCCGAACTGCCACTACACTCTGGATAGGCCACCCTAAGGAAGCCCCTGGCTGCTGCTGCCTGGCTGGGTTGCCCTTCCCACCCCACCTTACCTCTGGCTTGGAGCACTCCCTCCCACCCCCACTGTGCTGTTCTCTTCTGTGGGTCCTCCAGTCCCACCCTGCCCTGAGCCACGTTGTGTGCATGATCCTTGTGACCGTGTCGTCTGTACAGAAGAGGCAGAGGAAACAGCCCGTGGACCCCAGCCCTGGCCACCTTTCCTTACCAAATAGGGCTGCCCAGGGTAGCACATGCTACCCTTCCTCCAATAATGCCACTCAGGCCTGAGGGAGCAGCCCTTTCCCAGGATCTTTCTGGACCCCAACCTTGCTTCCAGCTGACCTACTCACCTGCCTGGTCCTCTGGCCTCTCCAGCTGTCCCTACAAGCCGGACCCCAAGGGATGGGCAGACCAGCTGGCCACATGGTGCTGCTTTTCAGGTTAGGGGAGGGATGGCCCTGAAGGACAGCCCAGCTCTAAGCCTCTAACAGCTAATCACTGCCAGGGAGGCTCAGGGTGCTGTGACCTCCAGCCATGTCAAGACCAGGCTCCCTCTCCTACGAAGGGCACATTCTAACTGGCCTTCAGCCTCAACTTCCCTTCCCACATTCCTACAGCTCCAGGAGCAACCCCTTTGGACTAGGCCAAACCCCAGGAAACCCTCTGAAAGAGGCTGGCTGGTGCCCAGTCCCAGCCACCCCTGCAGCTAGGGAGGCAGAGCAGGCTTTAGTCCGTTCTCCAGCCAGTGTTGCATGTTTGGGATGGTGGTCCCTGCTCTCTTGTGCTCCAGGAAATCAGATGTCACTTCAGGCCTACAATCTCACCCTGCCCTCACCATCTCCCGTTGATGTGCCACATGGGTGTCAGTGTCTTGGACACAGTATTCAGCAGCCAGCCAGGGAGGGCCACCTCCCCGCCATCTTGGGGTTTATCAGAAACGGGCCCCCACCCCAAGACCCCCTCTCCCTTGTTGACAGGCAAGGAGTGTGCATGCGAGTGCATGCCAACAGGAGATGGGGCCATGTCTGGGTGCCCCATCTGCCCTCAGCTTTGCTCCTGCCTAGTGACTGTGACCAATGTCCGTGTTGCCTTCAATAGCGACTCCCTCCCACCCCTTCACCAAAGTTCTTGTACAACCAGCTGCCCATTTTGTGAAATTTTTATGTAGAATAAACATTTGTATCTGTACTAGGCCTCTGCTCTAGATTTCTTACCCTCTGCAGTGTCATAGCTAGAACTTGGGGATGAATATATGTGGCAGTAAGAGGAAGAGTATCAGAGTTAAAGAATCCCAACTTCCATCCCCTCAAAGTCCTTCAACTTCCTCAGGCCTTTCTCATCATTCAATAGGTAACATTTGGCTTTTCTATGAGAACATGCTCCAATCCTCGCACCACAGGTAAAATGGTCAAAGTTTTTGCCAAAGGCAAAGCCTAGGATCTGGTATTTGGGTGAGACTCCACTGTAGGCTTTAGACCCCAGGCCCTAAACCTTCCTTCTTCCCATACAAGGGCCCCATCCCTGGATGTCTTAGCTCCTAACACCTGATATTCTGTAAGTCTATGCCCAGATCTTGCCCTCTTCCCAATTGGCCTTTCAGTCTCAAAGTGACCACCAGATCACCTCTTACCAGTCTGCTAAACAGCTCCCCACAGCAGGACAGCCCTTGACCATTGGTGATTGGACCAGGCTGAGGCATTTCAGCACTGTGCTGCTCAGCAGCTGACCATG